TGGAATGATATGTTTTGAGCCTGAAATTGAAACTTTAGACTAAAAGTCTCTCCTACAAAGTTGTTCCTTATAGTTAGGCCCTCATTTTTATGACAATGAATTCTAGGGTGGTTCCTATTATCATTAAAATCAAAAATCTAACTTTTTTGTTGGAATAAATTAAGGTATACATTTTTCGGCAAAGTTGTAGCTGAGCTAATTTTAAAAAACTTTGTACAAAACAACTTTTTTGTATCTCTTAAATTGGCCAATTTAGAGCTATTTTCTTGAATTGATTTAGGGTGGCTCTTAAAAAAAACAGTTTTTTTGCTCTAGTTTTCTTATTTAGATTTTCTCAGCAAAGATGTCTGTAGATAACTTTTAGATCTTAAGACGGCGCAAATTTTTGCTACACAAAGTTTGTCGATATCTTTCGCCGATCAAGAGTTATTGACGTTTTTATACTAAAAATATGCACTTTTCAAATGTTAATATCTCTGGTTGGGGCAAACAAAAAATAAGTTTTCTTACGGCATTTGAAAAAGCGTATGTTATTCTCAATAATATGACAAAATTGGAGGTATTTTATTTTTTAAACTCGTATAAAATCAATTTGAATTTATTCATATTTTTTACTATATTTGGGTATATTTTTTTTTATTAGAAGAGATACAGGCAACTAATTCAGCTACAAAACATTCGTCTTAAAGAGTTTTAAAAGTCTCTAGAAGATGACTTTCATGATAAATTTCAAATAAAAAAGTTATTGACAAAAGATGGATTTCATAGGACCACTCTAATGACAAATTTATATAAAATGTGCTAGTACATTTGTTTAAATATTTGGAAATAAGGTGTCTTCGAAAAAATTTTTGTTTCTAAAAATTCCCTTCTTTTGGTGTTTGCAAACGTCAGGGTGGTCCTCAAATGAGGGAATTTTTAAACTAACTTTTTTGTTTTACAAAATATAAACATGTGTTGTTTAAAAAAGTTGTAGTTAAGTTACTTGCAAGCAACTTTGTCGAAGAAATTTTTTTTTCTATCTCTTAACGTTCTCATTTTAGAGTAATTTTTCGGAGTTGACTTAGGGTGTTCCTGGAAAAAATAGTTTTTTAGCAATAACTTTTTTATTTGAAATTTCTCATGAAAGTTATCTTCTAGAGAACTTTAAAACTCTTTAGGACGAATGTTTTATAGCTGAATTTGTTGCCTGTATCTCTTCTAATAAAAAAGATATACCCAAATAATAAAAAAATATGAATAAATTCAAATTGATTTCATACGAGTTTAAAAAATAACATACCTCCAATTTTGTCATATTATTGAAAATAACATAAGCCCTTTCAAATGCCGTAAGAAAACTTTTTTTTTGTTTGCCCCAACCAGAGATATTAACATTTGAAAAGTGCATATTTTTAGTATAAAAACGTCAATAACTCTTGATCGACGAAAGATTTCGACAAACTTTGTGCAGCAAAAATTTGCCTCTTCTTAGGATCTAAAAGTTATCTACAGACACCTTTTCTGAGAAATTCTAAATAAGAAAACTAGAGCAAAACAACTGTTTTTTTAAGAGCCACCCTAACTCAATTCAAGAAAATAGCTCTAAATCGGCCAATTTAAGAGATACAAAAAAGTTGATTTCTACAAAGTTGCTTGAAATTAGCTCAGATATAACTTTGCCGAAGAATGTATATCTTAATTTATTCAAACAAAAAAGTTAGATTTTTTATTTTAATGATAATAGGAACCACCCTAGAATTCATTGTCATAAAAATGAGGGCCTAACTATAAGAAACAACTTTGTAGAAGAGACTTTTAGTCTAAAGTTTCAATTTCAGGCTCAAAACATATCATTCCACCTAAATCTGCATTCTGGACCACTGTGGAATGAAAGCACAAAACAAATTTAAGTGTTTAATTGTTTTGAGAAATCGACGATACGTTCCCATCTTGCTCAATGATACGCTATACACATTATACACACTTAATTTTTTTCGCCAAGATTCCAACAGCCGAGTGATTCTGCAATTTATTTTGCTGAGATTCAGTAAAACAATTGCTGAGACTCAGCTAACAAATAACATTTAGCTGAGATATCAGCTAACAAACAGATATTTTGCAGAGATATCAGGAAAATTAAATGCCGAGGTAATCGGCTGTTGGAGATTTTACCGAGCTAGATTAAGTGTGTACAAATTATACGCAATATACTTGGTAAGCCTAATTCATGTTCGAAGTGGATTATCGCCAAACCTACCACGTAAACAGTTTACGTAAACTGTGCTGAACTGATACGAGCCTGTCCATAACCACAAAGTGTCCCTACGAAAGCCAATTTCCACCATTTTGGGATCCCAAAATGGTGGCAGACATCGATTTCCGGCCTCTACACGTCGTCCCCTTTCGGGAAATACCCATATTGTAGGGTATTTGACAGTTTTTCATGAATCGATGACCGCCATCTTGGACATCTTGGCGTCCGAAATCGATATCCAGCTTCTCTACACGTCATCCCTATTCCGATTCCTGTCCTCACATTGCACAGCAACATCTTATATGGACAATAGACCTGTTCATTTTAACAGAAATGTTCGAATGCTCCGGGTCAACCGTTATTACTGTTCGTCATGTTAATTTGAACTTCAGCAAAATCGGTGATGATTTAGAGGTAATTTCATGATTTTAAGGTAATTTACGGTTTATAATATTTGTGCTTCGAGACTGAAACAACGAAACTACTGTTACAACTTTCATAGCAAAGCTTGATGTGTTATCTACCAACTTGGTGACCAAAGGTTGACTATTCAAAATGATTTTATTGAAATTGAACTTAGGCCGGCGCCGGTGGTGTTGTGGTAAGCGTGACTGCTTTCTAACACCCCAATGGGTCTGGGTTCAATCCCAGCCGAGGTCGGTGGGATTTTTCTGAGGCATAAAAATCTCTGGTCACGTCTTCCTTCGGAAGGGAAGTAAAGCCGTTGGTCCCGGCCAACCCATCCCATGTGTGTTTGAATGGGTGCGATATCCTACGCAGGTGTGGAAGCTGCCTTCCTGCACATTCGATTGCCGTCAATGGATGGCAATCGATGTCCGTCGGTGATTGGCACTAGATTGCGGAACAGAGACCGACGTTAAATAAAGGACAGAAATTGAACTTAGTTTCATGCTCGAATATATCTTACAAAGTGAAGAATTTTAAAGTATTTGTTCTACGAACTTTCCACCCATATGATATCAAAAATGTGAAGTCTACGGCATAATGTTCCTTATACTGTTCTAGAAATTTCGTTCAAAAAAAAGTTTTCGTGTAGATTCCATAGATTGAGAGATAAAAATCAGAGAAGAGGCCGTTATAGCTAAAATTCACAAGACAACAGAGCCAATAACAGTTTCAATTAGATTGACAGAACATAGTTACATTGATTTTCAATGACGACCGATGACTTTTTAGAAATATGAAGTATTGGTTTTTTTATCAAATGCAAGTGTCACTCGAGCCATCCAAAATGTTCGTTATTTTTTGAGGATATAGAAAATTCCATCGTCACCTGGAGTTTTCATATTTTGAAACTTTTTAGTTATAGATCTTACTTCGTCCAAATCAGTCCCCCAGGAATCATCAAAAATATTTTCCCGAGAGAAAATATTCAGATAATCCCGAGCAACCTGATTCTCAATAGGACTAGCAAGACCCAAACTGAAATTATGGGAACTCTCGAATTGCTTAGCAAGTTTCTGAGTTATTCCGAATTTGTGATCAAAATTTTACCAGCTTCTTGAAGCGCTGGAATCGGTTTTTAAGGATTTTTCAAAAAAATTGTGAGCTTAGAACTCGGGTCTAAATTCGAAACATTATTTTCAAAAGTTTTGATCCTCATTTGTTTTTGCAAATCCCGCCTACAACCTTTCTAGGCAGGATCGCGTGTTCTTTGATATTGCCTCCTACGGACATTTTTCAGACGGATCAAAAGGTGAAGATCAACTATAGAAGTAGTCAGAGATTCAAGAGCATAATTAATTTCATCTTTGGTTTGCAAAGGAATGTTTGGATCAAAGCTATATGGAAATAAATGTTCGATATTGCTCCCAATCAGCTCTATGGTAATTGAAATTAGAGCTGTTGGGATTAGAACAGTAGTCGTCATCGTCTTCAAAGGTATGTGCTAGAATATCGACCGCACCACACAATTTACACCAAAGTGCAATAGTGGTTTTTTTAGGAATACAGTGTTTAAGTTGATCAAGTTTGTTCAGTAGTGGACAAATTTCAGTAAAATTAGATGCATATGAATGATCTTTATTACGACTCAAAATGAGCATAATTTAAAGAAGTTATCTTCATTTTATTTTAATTGGAGTAAATATGGTTTTTCAAGAATAAGGCATTTTTCTTAAATTGCTCTAACTTTTTGTAAACTCAACCAAATATGATCAATACTGAGCCAATAATAGATCTACGTACCTTTTTAACTTGTGCTTTTAGAACCGTTTTTCTTAAATTTAAGTACAGCTGTACGATCAATTTTGAGATAAACATGATTTCATTCAAGCATTCACCCAAATCTATTTTACCAAATGAAACAGAATATGGTCAAAATTGCACAATGCATCAAACAAATCTCAGCTAAGAGCTATCGATGTGAGCAATGCGGTTCCACATTTGCATTCTAAATCGACTTCAATTAATTATTCTCAGAATTCCACCTAATCGATGGGCGCACATTTGGATCCTCAAATTGGTAAAATACAAATATTTAAACCCAAACAGCGCAGCTCATGCTTGTGCTCTTTTTGAAATGCCATTCTTTCAAGTGCAAAGCAAATATTCCTCCAGAAAAGAGAGCATATCAACAAAATTACCAAAACCAGAACCACATGATTTACGGGACTACATACAACAAACAAAGATCACTCGATTGATGGTTTTTTTTTTAAGTTTCGCTTTATTGTCTGTTGGATTGAGTATTATTTTTTTGTTTGTCATCCGCAGTGTACTTTATTCAAGTCTTATTCATTTCTTTTTCGTTCATTTTTTACATTGGCTTGTACATTCATCATCGACTCTTCGTTTGTTGGTTATCGATTTCGGACTTTTGCGTGAAGGGAGATCGGTCTGCTTTTTATTTTTGTCTAACGCAAAAAAATGGCAATTAGAGACGGGGGTGATCAATCAATTATACTGCTTGGCTGCTTGGCTGCTTGGGGGACACCTGCACATCATGAACCGCTGCAACAAGCTGTTCTCCGGTCTGGACGGCCTTCAACGATACTCGGTTGTCTTCGACTGGAGTTTCCTCAACGACTTTGGTCTCGCTGAACGGCGTTGATCGTTTGACTTTCTGCGACCGAGCTCGAGCGGCTTCGGATTGTGCGATTGTATACACTGGGTACTCGAAGCTGTAGAAGAATCCCTTTGGGTCGTACTGTGGCTCCTCTTCCTCATTGGTAGCTCCCTGAGCGGATTCCTCGTTCTGTCGCTTCTTGAGATTTCGCTGGGCTTCAATGACCACCGCATCGTTGGAGGCAGCAGGAGCCGAATCCGGAGAAATGTGATCCGTGTACGGCAGGCTGGGGTATCGGGCCAAACTCTGATGTTGGTTCGACAAGGCTCCCACGATTTCATCGTCCTCTTCATCAACGGTGTTCTGAATGGGCTTGTTGTTGACGCTGGTTGCAGGCTTACCCGATCGAACGAGGTTCGCGGCTTCTTCCCATGCCTTCATGTGTGCAATACGGGCTTCCCGAACCTCCGGAGTATCCGTAACCGGTTCCAGCACAACCTCCGGACGGTTATCAAACTGATGGAATCCCAGGCTGTCGGACCAGTACTGAACGACGATTTCCTGACCGTTCGGATCCATGTACTGGTATGAGCCACGAACTTCTCCGTTGGCGTTGCGAGCCTCCAATCGGGCCTGGTTGTGATCGTTGTAGCCAAACATGGCTCGGCCAAGGCCATCCTGATGATTGAAAGTTAAAATAATTAGATTAAAAATCGCCAACAACGAGAGGCAAGCGACAAACCTGTCCATGGAACTGCGACGCTTCGTAGGATTCCTCGACGTAGTCCTCGGGATTGTCGATCAGCCGCCCATTGTGGTAGAACTTGGCCTCGGTTGGATCCTGGATGTTTCGGAAGTATCCCAGCGGGTGTTCGCCCAACTTTTTGGCGTAGCGCAGATCCAAACTTTGCTGGGTGATAAATCGTTGAGCTTCCTCGGGGGCTAGGTTAACCAGCTGTATGCGACCGGCCAGCAGCAGTGCCGGTGCGGTGACCTAGATTGGCGGTAGAAGGGAAACATAATCAGAAACGGAATGCGAGAATGGTTATTTCAGTAGATGAACTGGTTTGTGATAATGTTTGGGGGATTATCGTCAGGACAATTGATTAATTCGGACTGGAAGTCACAACAGTTTATTCGGAAGGGTAGCAACTAGTTTGCGCATGCCTGTCAATCAGGTGGGTAAGAAATAAACTCTGTGAATAAATTAAACTAATGCGGAATCAAATACAAAACAAGGTGAATAGATAACGGAAACGTCAATCGAGAAGATAAGATGGAAATTATGATCTTAAAAAAGACTCGATTCACTTGGACCAGATTTGTTTACATTGGTCGTCAAAAGTTAAGCAGCTGTAATTGTAATTTATAAGGCTGAGAAAATTTGTAATTTAGAGCATCGGTTCTGAAACATTCGATTCTTGAGAGGCACACCCATCAGTATTAGCATAGACTAGTTGCACAATATCGTAGCTGGTATGAATTAAAAAATATTATTAAAAGGAAGATATAGCTTCATCCGTTACCAGTCCCGATCAAAGTAAAATAACAACATGAAATCATCTTGAACTCAAGCCTTGTGATGTTAGATATAATTTTGTTTTGAGTTGTTATCGCATAGCTAATTTAGTTATCAACCCATACTAATGTTGTTATCACTCGTTGTTATGAAAGCATATGAAAGCATATGATAGTATGATAAGCCAAAAACACTGCCCATTATATTTCAGTTATCAGCCCAATGCTTTGTAATCAAAGAAATAATATAACTGCGAGTATATTTTCTTATAATGTTCTTGGTTTTTAATAAGGTCATTGGACCTTAACCAGATTAAAGTCCCGTCGATTATATTTAGGCAGTTTTTCTCGATGTCCACCTTTGGATTTACTACAAACTGCTTTGAAGGTCTCCCTCGTTTTGATGTTGAAGGAACGTTCTGCTCCTCTTCGATGAATTCCTTGATGGCAAAACTAGATTCGAGCCAACTCCGATGATCTGAATCAAATCTCTCTTTTTTTTTCGTTGAGATTGACTCCACTTCTACTTGTATTTACTGAAGAGTTTGTAAATTTTATCCTGCAGTCATGTTTGCTTTTTCACGTGGATATGCTATTTTTCACAAATATACTTGAAGGCCTTTTGAACGTTTTCGCTATGCGTTAACTTTACATCAAAAAGTGAAAAAATAGTTCTATTAAGTGTGCACACTTGTGTTTAACCGTATTCAATGAAACTAGAAACAGCCCATAACAATTTATTTACGATTCTGAACTCAATGAGAAATATAGATAGCTTCAACAAGTCTTGAACGATAAGTAGGAATACTGGGTAGCAGATGCTGACTTTTGATACATAATAAAGCCCACAAATAACAGTTATAAATATAACTGATAATATAAGCACCATCACAAAACATTCTTAACACTCCGAATACGATGCCTCCGAAAAACGTGTAACGGCAAGTTTGCAATGGCACAACTTAGCCATTTCTTAATGAATTTCAAAAATTGTGGTACCTTTAGAATTCCAAGGGTTTCTAGATGATTTTGATGGCAAACTCGGAAATAGAGTCGTCTACTTTTTTAAAAAGCGAAAAGAGTTGTTACACGTTTTTTTGAAAGGTGTGTTTGTAGGGTTTTGCAAGTGGTGCAAGATCTGTAATTTAGATTAATGGGCACAAATGTTCACAATTAGCCAGAATACAGTCATGGTTCCTATATATGGATCTCGGAGACAACGGAACGGTCCTCGAAAAATTCGGAATATCCGTAAAAATGGTCAATCCATGATCCTGATCCTAGACCTCTGCAGTTTTTTTGAAAACATTAGGAACTGTGATACAAAAAAAAATATTTGGGGTCGTGACATAAACATGTATGGTCATGGGACCGTCCTCCGGAAGATCCGGAACATCCGTAAAAGTGGACAATCCATGAAACTGATCCTAGAGCTTCTTTTTTTTAACATTAGGATCTGTGATATAAGAATGAATTTGGGTCATGGACCCAGATGGTCATGGGACCGTCCTCCGGAAGATCCGGAACATCCGTAAAAGTAGTAAATCCACGATCCTGATCCTAGAGCTCCGCGTTTTTTTTTATAAACATTAGGAACTGTGATGATAGTAATAATTTGGGCTAGTGACATAAACATGAACCCGGATGTCCATAGGACCGTCCTCCGGAAGATCCGGAACATCCGTTAAAGTGATCAATCCATGAAACTGATCCTAGAGCTACGCGTTTTTTTAACATTAGGATCTATGATATAAGAATGAATTTGGGTCATGGACCGAGATGGCCATCGGATCGTCCAGCGGAAGATCCGGAACATCCGTGAAAGTGATAAATCCACGATCCTGATCTTAGAGCTACGCGTTTTTTTATAAACATTAGGAACTGTGATGATAGAAAGAATTTGGGCTTGTGACATAAACATGAACCTGGATGTCCATAGGACCGTTCTGCGGAAGATCCGGAACATCCGTAAAAGTGGTAAATCCACGATCCTGATCCTAGAGCTCCGTGGTTTTCTTGAAAACATAAAGAACTGTTATGATAGAAATAATTTAGGCTTGTGACATAAACATGGACCTTGATGGCCATGAGACCGTCCTCTGGAAGATCCGGAACATCCGTGTAAGTGGAAAATTCACGAAACTGATCCTAGAGCTCCGTGGTTTTCTTGAAAACGTTAGGAACTGTGATGATAGAATGATTTTGGGATCGTGACATAAACATGGACCCAGATGGCCATCGGAACGTCGTTCGGAAGATCCGAAAAATCCATAAAAGTGGTCAATGTATGGAACTGCTCCTAGAGCTCCACGGTTTTTTTTTCGAAAACACTTGGAACTGTCATATATAAATTAATTTGCAGTCGTGACATAAACATGTACCCAGAAGGCCATGGGACCGTCCTCCGCAAGATCTAGAACATCTTTAAAAATGGTCAATCCTCGAAACTGATCCTAGAGTTCTACGGTTTTGTCGAAAGCATGAGGAACTGCGATATAAGAAATATGTTGGGGTCACGACATAAACATGGACCCAAATGGCCATGGGGCCATCCTCTGATAAGTCCAGAACATCCGTAAAAGAGGTTAATCAATGAAACTGATACTAAAGCTCCGCAGTTTTTTTCCAAAAACATTAGGAACTGTGATATAAGAATGAATTTGTGATCGTGACTTAAACATGTACCTAGATAGCCATGGGACCGTCGTCCGGAAGATCAACAACATCCGTAAAATGGTCACTCCATAACATTGAGAGGTGGAAGCATTACTATGACGAGCACCTCAACGGTGATGCAGCAGAAAACAAAGGTGGCACGGTAACAGACCTTGGAGCACGTGCAGAAGACGACAGGCTACTGGCCCCTGATCTTCAAGAAGTTGAGGAGGAGATCGGTCGACTGAAGAACAACAAAGCAACTGGTGTAGATCAACAACCAAGTGAGCTATTAAAATACGGCTGTGAAGCACTGGCTAGAGCGCTGTACTGGGTAATTGCCAAGATTTGGGAGGAGGGGATATTACCGGAGGAGTGAAGCAAGGTGTTGTATGCCCAATCTACAAAAAGGGCGACAAGTTGGATTGCTGCAACTACCGTGCGATCACACTGCTGAGCGCCGCTTACAAGGTACTCTCCCAAATTATACGCCGCCGCCTGTCACCATTTGCAAGAGATTTCTTGGGCAATACCAGCAGGGATTCATGGGTTCATATTCGCGATTCGGCAGGTTCTGCAGAAATGCCACAAATACAACTTGCTTACACATCATTTGTTCATCGATTTCAAATCCGCATACGACACAATCGATCGTGATCAGCTATGGCAGATTATGCATTTTCAGAAAGTCCATCCAGCTTCTTGGCTTCGCCGATGACATCGACATCATGACACGGAACTTTGAGACGAAGGCTGAAGCTAGGTGGATGTTACTTGCCATCAACACATTATACACAAAATACATTCAAAGTGTTTTTATGTTATCTACTTCATACGCGAAGTTAGCGTTTTCAGAGTTGGTTGGAAATGCTAACATGAAGCTTTAGTGTGATAATTTATTAGCTAGAGAATGATCTTTAGAAGCGAGTAGGTGGATAGTTCCGTTAGAGTACGGCAGTATGAAAATTGAATAGAAGTTGAAAATGAGCGAAGGGCCATTAATGCGACAGTTTTTTTTAAATTAGACGCACATCTTTTGCCTAACCCGTACGATGTACTCGCGGAGACTTGAAGTATGTCTCCAAGTCTACAGGCGAAAAAAGTCATGTTAGCATTTCCAACCAACACAAAATACATGAAAGGAAGAGGTTCTAGGGAAAACAATGTTAGCCTCCCACCCCGAGTTCAGATTGACGGTGACGAAATCGAGGTGGTCGATGAGTTCGTGTATTTGGGCTCACTGGTGACCGTCGAAAATGATACCAGCAGAGAATTTCAAAGACCTATTATGGCAGGGAATCGTGCCTACTTTGGACTCTGGAGGACGCTCCGGTCGAATAAAATTCGCCACGAAGTTGACTATCTAAAAGACGCTGATTAGACCGGTGGTCGTCTACAGCCACGAGACCGTGACTATGCTCGTGGAGGACAAACGCGCCCTTGGATGACGGAACGTGGAGGAAGCGAATGAACCACGAATGGCACCAGCTGCTGGGAGAACCATCCATCGTTCACATTGCAAAAATTGGGCGACTACGGTAGGCTGGGTATGTCGTAAGAATGTCGCACGACGACGCAGTGAAAATGGTTCTCGAAAGCGCCCCAATAGGAACAAGAAGAAGAGGCGCGCAGAGGGCAAGGTGGATCGACCAAGTAGAAGGTGACCTGCGGACCCTTCGCAGACTACGAGGCTGGCAAAGTCTGGCCATGGATCGAGTAGAGTTGATACGACTTCTTCGGACAGCAGAGGACAATAAGGCCTTAGCCCGATTGCAAGCCATAAAATTGATCCAAGAACGAAAAACCGTGGAACTGTGATAT